GAATCTCAATTGGAATACAGATCTAAATTAAAGGGTTAAACAATAAAGTCTGCAAAGAAAATGCAAGAGAACATCTTCATTACATTGGCTAACACAAACATTTCTTTAAAAGGACCAAGCAAAAAGGAAAAAAATTTTGATATTTGGTCTTTAAAAATAAAGAACTTCTATTCATCAAAAGTCAACACAAAGAGAGCTGAAGACATCTGTAATATACAGTCTGCAAAAGAAAGGACTCTCACAAAACAACAAAAAACAGACAACTCAATAGAAATCCAGGTCAAAGATCTGAATAGACATCCCACCAAAAAAGTAAACCTAATAGGCAATAAACATATGAAAAGCTGAACTTCAATAATTATTAAAGAAAAGAAAATTAAACCCAATGTGATACTATAATATACTTTTCAGAATAACTAAACTGAAAAAGACAAGACAACACCAAGGGTTGACAAGGATACAGAGCAACTTGGGACTTTCATGCCCTGGTAGAAGAGGTTAAAAAAAAAAGTGACATAATAGTGGTATAACTACTTTGGAACAATTGGTGGTTATCTACTAAACCTGATATACACATATTCTAAGTTCTAGCAATTCCATCCCTAGAAATATACTCAAAAAATAAATGGCAAGGAGAATAAATTAATTATGGCTACATGAAGTAACATGGGTGAATATTACACAAAATATATTGAGCAAGAGGTCAGTACACACTCTGATTCCATAAATATGCGTGAAATTCAAAACCAAGAAAAACTAATCTGTAATATTGGGTTAGCGTTTTCTCAATGCAAGGGAGATAGATGGTAGTAACTATTAGAGGACAGAAGGGGGCTTCTGCAGTGTCAGTAAAGCAGTGTTTACATAAGTGTAATTTAGTGAAACTCTGACAGTTGAACACTTAGGATCTGTGAACTTTTCTGTATATTATACTTTAAGAAGCTGTTTAAGGAAAAGAAAAAAGAGAAACTAATCTGCAGGGAAAATAGATTTATCTACTGAAGCCAAGGATGGTATAAATATGACACAAAATCCCTATGTTAGATAACAATCATACTTTTAAAGCTAGAAAAATGGGTCAGAATCAACAATTTAAAATTTAGTAAGAATAAATACCACCACATCGAAGTCAAAAACTAAAAAGTATATCTAGCACAAAGGACACTTTGTTTCAAACTGCAGACAAGACGACTTTGGGGCGCCTGGGTGGCTCAGGTGGTTAAGTGTCAGACTTTGGCTCAGGTCATGATCTGACTACTCATGAGTTTGAACCCCGCACTGGCCTCTGTGCTGACAGCTCAGAGCCTGGAGCCTGCTTCGAAATCTGTGTCTCCCTCTCTTTCTGCCCCACCCCCGTTCACCCTGTCTGTGTTATGTGTCTCTCTCTCTCTCAAATAAACATTAAAAAAAATGTTAAAAGAAAAAAAAAGGCTTTAAAAACAAGTTCAATAAGCCAAAATGACACTGCTGCCAAAACAAAACTAAACAAAATTTAGGCTGGTTTAATGAAATTATCAAACCAAGATAAAGTAAGGTAATAGTTTCACTTCATTGCTTATTACTGACTACAACTAAAAGATCACAACTTAAGAAACACACTAAAGGGGTGGCTCAGTCAGTTAAGCATCCGACTTGGTTTCAGGTCATGATCTCACGGTTCGTGGGTTCAAGCCCCGCATCGGGCTCTGTGCTGACAGCTAGCTCAGAGCCTGGAGCCTGCTTCAGATTCTGTGTCTTCTTCTCTCTCTGACCCTCCTCTGCTCACGCTGCCACTCTCTCTCAGAAATAAATAAATAAGTAAGTAAATAAATAAATAAATAAATAAATAGAAAAGAAACACACTAAAAAGAGTATATCTCAAAAAAGAAACCCTGGGGTGGTAAGAGAGAAATCTTAATCAAAAAATGGTTAAAAAACAAGGAAGACTTCTGCATAGTGAAGGAAAACAACAAAACTAAAAGAGCCTATGGAATGGGAGAAGATATTTGCAAATGATATAAAGGGTTAGTATCCAAAATCCAGAAAGAACTTAACCAAATTTAACACCCAAAATCAAATAATCTAGTGAAGAAATGGGAAGAAGACACGAACAGATACTTTTTCAAAGAAGACCTCCAGATTCTAACAGACTCCTGAAAAGATACTCATCATCACTCATTATCAGGGAAATACAAATCAAAACCACAATGAGATACCACCTCACACCTGTCAGAATGGCTAAAATGAACAACTCTGGAAACAAAAGATGTAGGAAAGGATGTGGAGAAAGAGGAACACTTTTGCACTCCTGTTTGGAATGCAAACTGGTACAGCCACTCTGCACAAACTGGTGCAGCCACTTTGGTTCCTCAAAAAATTAAAAACAGAACTACCCCATAACCTAGCAATTGCACTACTAGGTATTTATCCAAACAAAAGTGCTGATTCGAAGGGGCACGTGCACCCAATGTTTATAACAGCATTATCAACAGCCAAAATAAAAAAGAGCCCAAATGTCCATCAACTGATGAATGGATAAAGAAGATATGGTATGTGTGTGGGCTGCAATATAAAAGAGAACTGTAAGAAAGGGATACAGAGGTAGAGTTTAGGTAGAAAAGAAACAAGGAAACTGAAGGAACGAAGCAAAGCAGTAAACTATTTTATTTTTCCATTTTTACCAGCACTTAAAAAAAATTAGAAAATCTGGACAAAGTATGTATATGGCTTAATAACAAGACTGTGTTTCTTTTCTGCAAGAAATCAAGAAGGGAAATCATGATTAGAAGCAACAGTGGAAAGAGAAGTAAAAAAGCCAGCCCATGAAGAGTGACAGAATAACATGTAAAAAATTAGAACTAGAATAGAGAAGTGTCCCTGAGGGTTACTATAGAAAGTGGCTCAAGCCCTTACAGCTCTTTACTCTCATCCCTATCTTATTCCCTATCTCCATCAGAGTAAGCCTACCCACATTTTAGAATTAACTTCGGCTTCTACTTGATGTCACTAAAAGCAAATCCTTAAGTGTTCCCTCTTTGAAGTTTAATACTGTTCTATTCTCTGGTATTACCTCAATAATATTTGTTAACTCACCTACAGAAATAGCCAGTTTAAGTGATAACATAGCAATATATTATAATCTTAGTAGAGTATCACCTTTAAAGACCATTTTGTAAAAGAATGTTATTGTTGGTTCCATGCTGACTCAAGGAGACAGCAGGAGGAGGAAGAAATGGTTCTAAAGCCAGCTGTATTAAAGCTTTGAGGCTTACCAGAATGTCAGAACATAAGGGTAGGAATTTCAGTTTTCTCGCTGATGTATTTTCAATGCTTAGAAGTGCTCAGGGGTGCCTGGGTGCCTCAGTGGGTTAAGCATCCGACTTCGGCTCAAGTCATGATCTCACAGTTCGTGGGTTTGAGTCCCGCGTCAGGCTCTGTGCTGACAGCTAGCTCAGGGCCTGGAGCCTGCTTTGGATTCTGTGTCTCCCTCTCTCTGACCCTCCCCTGCTCTCTCTCTCTCTCTCTCTCTCTCTCTCAGAAATAAAAACATATAAAAAAAAAAATTAAAAAAAAAGTGCTCAGAATGTAGCAGATACGTAATGAACATTTACTGAATGACTGAATTCCCAAGTAATCTAAAAAAAATCACACAAGATGGGGCACCTAGGGCTCAGTTGGTTAAGAGTCTGACTCTTGATCTCAGCTCAGGTCATGATCTCATTTTTCGGGGACTGAGCCCCACATAGGGCTCTGTGCTGATGCCACAGGGCCTGTTTGGGATTCTGTCTGTCCCTCTCTTTGCCCCTTCCTAGCTTGCACTCTTTTGCTCTCTCTCTCAAAATAAATAAACTTTTAGTAAGAAAATTAAAAATCACACAAGGACCTAAAAATAAAAACTGAAAAACAACTGGGACGAGAACTACCTCAGGTTCAAATTATCTCTACTACTTATTAAAGTCTTGAGCAAAGGGACTATTACCTATTTCAAAGGATAAGATAGTAAATATGATAATACATTCAAGTTAACTAATTTTAATCTGCTAAATGTCAAATAAGTAACAATAAATGCAAAACATTTTTCTTCAGCTTGTGACAAAGAACAACAGAAATAGGTTAGAATTAGAAAATGCATTTAGATTTCAAACACCTATGAACAAAGGTTAACCTAAACCAACAAAGGAGGAACTTTGATATCTGCTATTCATTTACCTACACAGATCAAAAATTTCTTGGCCCCTATTCTTTATCTCAAGCATAGTGCAAGATACCAAAGATAAAAAGAGCTTAAACAACAAGCTTTGAAAGTGCATAAATTGAATAGCTGTTTGTAAAAAACAAACTAAACAAACAAAAACATTAATAGGATTATATGATAGAAGTATAAAAATTTCTAAAAGGAAAGGCATAGCTAATAGTACTTGAGTGGTAAGATGGCTATCTCTCTAGAAACATCCAACACTGGCATTACCTTGGTAGCTTACTTGAACTCCTTATGAATATTCAAACTGAGGACTCATGGGTGTGGGGGGTGAGGGGGGAGATGGGCATGGAGGAGGGCACTTGTGGGGATAAGCACTGGGTGTTATATGGAAATCAACCTGACAATAAACTATTTGTAAAAAATAAAAAAATAAAAAAAATAAACATTAAGAAAAAAATTTAAAAATATGAAAAAATTTAAAAAATGAACAATTTTTTGTTTACTAAAAATAATTTCAGCTTCCATAGCTAACTATATACTTAGAAATAAAAAAAGGCCTATTAGTGTTAGTATTGGACTACAATGAAAGAGAAAGAATGTATCTTCCTAAAGCTGTCTCAGATAACAAAACAAGCTAACAAAAACTAGAAGTTCATTCTTGTTTTGTTTGAGAATGAAACAAGAAGTTTCTCAAATAAAAAACAGCACATATCCTTTAATGGTATGTATTTCCCCCATGCAGTGTCAGGATACCACTATATGACAGTAGTACACTTATTTCTAAAAGTCATCTATCTAGAGTGAAGAGAAAAATCATTACCTGATTGGTAGGCATTTTCGGCACATTCACTTTCCACATCTGGGCTTCCCTAGAGATTGCCTTTTCCAACAGGAAAGACAATCTCTGGTTCTCCAAAGGCCCTGGAAACTTCATGATATCCTTTGGATCTGCCTGCCTCCCAGCTTGATGTAGCTACCTATAAAATCAAATATAAAACAATGCTTTTTCTTTAATTATAGAGTATATGTAGCATTGTACAAATATATTGGTTCTTATTAAGCAATTCATAAAACAAAATAAGAATGTTACAAGACAGTATAGGATTTCATAGGTCTTTAAAACATCATATATTAAAATGTTACAATAATTACCAGTTACCTAAATACATTCAATTTTAATATGAGACTCATTAGTAAATAAAAGACGTGGACATATAATTGATAGAACCTATACACTCTGAAGAAAATATATCACTACATCTCAAATTGACTGTGCCAACAAATTTTAAGTCATGAGCTTTTCATACTAGCAATTCTTAGAAGTAGTTGTCCCAAATATTCCTCTTAAGAATCTAATCAGATAAGGGCTAACCTTTTCTTTCATTAAAAAATATGAAATCCATAGCATTATATCCCACTCACTCCCATATGAAATCATATTTGTGCTTCCTGTAGTGTCCACTAACTAAACACAGAACTATTTATATTAGAATTAAATAAAGTTAAAATATAATTCCTCAGTCACACCTGCCCATTTCAAAACCTCAACAGCCACAAGTGGTTTGTGAATACTGCATCAGATAGTACAGAAAAGGAACATCTCTATCACTGCAGAAAGTTCTATTAGAGAGTGATGATCTAGAAAACTCAACAATAAAGTGATTGGCACCCTAAAATGAGCAAATCTAAAGAGTAATATTCCAGATGAGTGCAGTGCAACTGGAAGTCCAGGAAAAAGGTCTTTAGGTGAAAGAAAGGAAAGAAGAAAGAGAGAAAGAACGAACGAACAAACTACAGATTGAGAGGTACGACTATACATAGATAACTGGATTGAGGGGCAGCGAGGTGGCTTAGCTAGTTAAGTATCTGACTTGATTTCAGCTCAGGTCAAGTCACTACCTCAAGGCTATCCAGCTCCCCCCCAGGCCCCCGTGCTGACAGCACAGAGCCTACTTGGGATTCTCGCTCTCTCTCTCTCTCTCTCTCTCTCTCTCCTCTCTCCCCCCTCCCCCCACTCACACACTCTCCTTTTCTCTCTCTCAAAATTAATAAACATTAAAAAAAAATTGGATTGAGAAGCTAAAGATGTGGCAAGACTCAACCTGATTTGATAAAAGCTAAGGAAATCAAAGGGTAATTAATGTCAGAAAACAAGAATATGTAGGAAGGTAAATGTAATAATACCCATAACATTTACATAGCAATAATAAAAATACTAAATAGGGATTTTAACAAACAGATAAAACTGCACTGTGAAGATGAGAGGTATTACAAGAAAAATGAGAGCCACATCTTTACATGTCACCGTTGGAAAACTCTAATATCTAAAACTGAAATATCAAAAAACAGTAGGGCAAGTTATTTGATGATATGATCACAAATAACAAGAGAAACAAATAAGTGCTCAGAGATTCACCTCAAGGAAGTAAGAAAAGGCTGAGAAAGCCCAGAAGCAGGAGACTGTGGTTCTTCATTATAAACCTCATATAACATGTAACTATGTATGTGTATGTATATTACATATGTGCTTCAGCTTTATAGGATTAAAAAAATTTTAATGTCTAGAATTGACATGAAAATTTGTTTTAAATAAAATTTAAAATTAATTTAAAAAAACAAAGAAGCTTATTAATTTCCATGCCACCCTTATCCTCAACTCCAGGTACTCATTCTTCTCTATTTTAATTTAAATCCAAGTTAGTTAACATACAGAGTAGTAATGGTTTTAAGAGAATTGATTCATCACTTACATATTAACACACTGCTCATCCTAAAAGTGCCCTCCTTTAATGCCCATCACCCATTTAGCCCATCCTCCCAATCAGTTGCCCTCCAGCAACTCTGTTTGTTCTCTGTAATTAAGAGTCTCTTATGGTTTGCCTCCTTCTGTTTTTCTCTTATTTTTCCTTCCCTTCCTTATTTTCATGCTTCTTAAATTCCACATAAGAGTGAAATCATATATTTGTCTTTCTCGGACTCAACTTATTTTGCTTAGCATCATACACTCTAGTTCCATCCACACTGTTGCAAATGGCAAGTTTTTTTTTTAATTGCCAAGTAATATTCCATTGTACATATATACCCCATCTTTTTTATCCATTCATCACTCAATGGACATTTAGGTTTTTTTCATACTTTGGCTATTATTGATAGTGCTGCTATAAACATTGGGATGCAAGTGTCCCTTCAAATCTGCATTTTTGTATCCTTTGGATAAATACTTTAGCAGTGCAACTACAGGGCTAGTAATGCAATTGCTGGGTAACAGAGTAGTTTGTTTTCTGGTATTTTTAAGGAACGTCCATACTGTTTTCCAGAGTGTCTGCACCAGTATGCATTCCCACCAACAGTGCAAGTGTTCCCCCTTCTCTGCATCCTCAACATGTTATTTCCAGAGTTGTTTATTTTAGCCATTTTGACAGGTGTGAGGTGGTATCTCATTGCAGTTTTGATTTGTATTTCCCTGATGATGAGTGATGTTTAGCAACTCTTCATGGGTCTGTTAGTCATCCAGATGTCTTCTTTGAAAAAGTGTTCATGTCTTCTGCCCATTTCTTCACTTGATTGTTTTCTGGGTGTGGAGTTTGGGAAATTCTTTCTAGATTTTGGATATTAACCCTTTATCCAATATGTCATTTGCAAATATCTTTTCCCATTCCGTAGGCTGCCTTTTAGTTCTGTTGATTTGTTTTTTTCACAATGCAGCAGGTTTTTATCTTGATAAGGCCCCCCATGGTTAATTTTCGCTTGTTTTACTTGCCTCCAGAGACATGATTAGTAAGAAGTTCCTACAGCCAAGGTTAAAGAAGTTGTTGCCTGTGTTCTCCTCTAGGATTTTGATGGTTTCCTGTCTTACATTTAGGTCTTTCATCCATTTTATTTCATGTATGGTGTAAAAAAGTGGTCATTCTTCTGCATGTTACGGTCCAGGTTTTCAACACCATTTGCTGAAGAGACAGTCTTTTTTCCCATGGATATTCTTTTCTGCTTTGTCAAAGATTAGTCTGCCATGTTTGTAGGTCCATTTCTGGGTTCTCTATTCTGTTCATTGATCCATGTGTCTGTTTTTGTTCCAGTACCAGGTTCTATCCCTTCCCACTATATCTATGAAGTGATGTTATGATAATGAAATGATATCTACCAATATTATCTTTTTATCACTTACAGAACCCTGATAAAACTGGGACTCAACCAAAGGTTGGTTTCAATCCTTGGGGCAACAAACAACCAAAAAACAAAAGAAACAAACCCAAACCTAATCTCTCACAAGCCAATCCTTCAAATGTTTGAAAGCAGCTACCATGCCCATGAACTCATCTTTTTCATAGCTGTAAAACTGTTCAAGGTTTCCTCACGTGACATTTTTGTTCTTCTAAATTAGCACCAGTTAAATTATTGATGCAGTCTAAGATTATTAGCTATTGTTTTGGAGTCTGCATCACACTATCAATTCAGATAGAATTTATGGTCAAGTAAAACTTTTAAGACTTTCTAAGGTACACCATTAGGCAAATTCTCTCCACCTGCCCTACTCCATTGTGTGTGTGGTTTTGGTGCCCTTTTTTTGGAGGTGGGGGGTAACCTTTTTCAGAACCATAAATGTAGTCTTTCTTTTAAAAAAAAAAAAAGTCATCTTGAGAGTCATCTTATAAGATTCCATCTATTGTTACATTATGCTGAGGTGTTCTGAGATTCCAATTCTGTTGCCTTGGTAGTTTTCCCAGATTCTCTATAATTAGATGAACAAACTCGCTATAATTTCATCTGAAGCAGATATAAATATTAACCTTAGAAATGGAGTCAAAGCTAGATGACCATCTGTCAAGACATATTTAGAAAAAACACCTATATTGGGCGGAGATTAAACTTCACTAGTTCTAAGGTTTCTTCTATACCTAATTTTAGTACATAATTTATTAACTCTTGTTAAAACTTAGCTGTTTCATTCCATTAGCTACACCTAACAGGGTGGCTCACCAGGATCTCCAAACTTTCTCACACCCTCCAGTGGCTGGCTGCCCCTGTGATTACTCTTCCCTCAAAATGTTTGCTCTGAAAATTATTTTTAAGAGGGATGAATAGGGAGGGGGCAGAGAGGCACGCACAGGAACAAATCATGTAAAGAAGAGTAACATCAGGTCCAAGAGATTCCTGTTTTCCAATCTTCTACAGTTAAGACTCTAAGTAAGACTTTCAAATATTTAGATGCTTTAACAATTGTTTTTAAAACAAAGAAATCTAGGTGAAAGAAGAAATCATGAGGGAAATTAGAAAATACTCTGAGATGAATGAAAAAGATAACCTAATATGCCAAAACTTAAGGGGTGCAAGTAGAGCAAACTATACCAAAAGCAAATCAGAAGAAATAAATCTGAGTGGAAATTAATGAAGGAATAGAAAGGGAGAAAAATAAATGAAACCAAAAGTTGGTTCTTTGAAAAGATCAACAAAATTGGCAAACCTTATCTACACTGACCAAGAAAAAACAGAAAAGTTAAAGTAGTAAAATCAAGAATAAAGAGAAGATATTACCACCTATGTTGTAGAAATAAAAGGTATTATAAAGGGATTTTATGAACTGTTTGCAAATAAATTGGACAGTTTGCATGAAATGGACAACTTATCAAAACTGACCTCAAAAGAAACAGAAAAGCTGAATAGCCATAACAAGAAACTGATTTAGTAAAAAGTTGTCAAAGAAAATGCTATGCCCAAGTGGCTTCACTTGGTAGTGAATTCTACCAAACTGCAGAAAAATTTTAAAAATTCTTCACAAACTCCTCCAAAACGTAGAGAAGATTATGAGGCCAGTGAAACAAAGACAACAGCACTAGAAAACTACTGATGAACATCTCTTCTAAATACAGATGGAGAATTCCTTAACAAAATACTAGCAAACTGAATCTGGCAATATTAAAAAAAAAAAAAAATTATACACCATAATCAAGTAGGATTTAGCCCAGGAATGCTTTAACATTCAGGAAATCAATTTATGTAATACACCATATGAAAATTAGTACATAAAGGAATCATTCTTTGCTCACACTAGGGGACTGTAACAAAAGATAAAGAGTTCAAACTTCTTATATCTTTCAAAAATAAGACCTAAATAATCCAACTGAAAAAAAAGGATGGAGAACACCTGCAGAAATATTCCAGAACAGAGGCTACAGAAAAATAGAAGTTCAATATCTGAACCTAGACTCGATCCCGTACTGGAAAGATAAAATGCTAAAGGTCATTATTGGGTCAAATGACATAATGGGAACACAGACAAATTAAAGTAAAAGTAATCAATGTTAGGGTCACCTGGGAAGCTACATCAGTTGAGCGTCCAATTTCAGCTCACGTCACGATCTCACAGTTGTGAGTTCGAGCCCCGCGCCAGGCTCGGTGCTGAGGGCTCAGAGCCTGGACCCTACTTTGGATTCTTTCTGTCATTCTGCCCCTCGAGCACATGAGCTCTCGCTCTCACTCGCGCGCTCTCTCAAAAAATAAGCATTAAAAAAGATCTTTTAAAAAAATGCTTTAAATGTTAAATTTACTAAAGTTGATAACTTTATTGGGATTCTGTAAGAGAATATCTCTAGTTTTGGGAAGTACACAGTAAAATACTTAGGAGTGAAGATTCATAATGTATGGAACATATATATGCAATGAGAGAATAAATGATAAAACGATAAAACAAATGGGGTGAAATATTAATGATAGATGAATCTAGGAATAGGTTTTTTGAAATTATTTACAAGTTAAGAATGTTGGAATCTCCCCCTCCCCCCTGCAAAAGACAATTTATGTAAGTGCTTATATTACCAGGATAACTTTTATGTTCCTTTTTAAAGATTCCAGTAAGACAAATAATGGTACAGTGAAGAAAACACTGACTTTTACTTCTCTTACTAATAATGCACAAGCCTGTTTTCTGATGTATAAAAATAGATTAAGTTAGATGAATAATGAAACCTGCTGAAGAATAAAATACAGAGGCACCTGGTGGCTTAGTTGGTTGAAGGTCATGATCTCACTGTTCGTGGGTTCAAGTCCCATGTCCCCCTCTGTGCTGAGAACCCAGAGCCTGGAAGGAGCCTGCTTCAGATTCTATGTCTCCCTCTCTCCCTACCCCTCACGTGTGCTCACTCTCTCAAAAATAAACACTAAGAAAAAAAAAAGAATAAAATACAAACACTTAAAATATAATTTTACTGTTTTAAATACTAGAACTTTATAGTTGTATCTTATTTTATGCCATTAGTTACATCCAAAACTTTGAACGCTCAGAAAGATAGAAGTCTCTAGGAACTAAGAAACAAAAAAAGTGTTTTGGTTGGCATATTCCATACACTTCTAACTTTATAGTAATTTCACATTTCTCCTGCCATTCTTTCAATTACCACCTCAGCTTCTTTCTCCATGTTTATCAAATAACTTAATGTATGAGTGAAGTTTATAAAATGCTTACTGTACAGCATAAACTATATTACAAATCTACATACAGAGCCTCCTGCTCTTCTAAGGAAAAGTGCTGCACAATACACGTTAAACAGAAACTTTATTAATACAGAAGTCTTTATCATCACCATAACACGAATTCCATTAAAATAATTCTGTACTGATGCTGACTTCTGGAACTTAGTTCCTATTCTAAAAAAGAGGGATTTATGAACGTGACCATCTTGACTTTATGCTTCCAACCTAATAATGAACTGCAGGTGCTTGTAATTCCAAAACAGCCTGCTCTTTGTTTCCCTAGCTTCATGCCTTTCCACACACTGTTCTTTCAACCTGAAATGTCCTTCTCTAGCTGGCACTTCCCTTTCTACAGAGCTGCCATTTACAGGTACCCTGCCTTCTTACATGTGCACTTGGACATAATCCTACTTTTGAATTTAACTGCTCTGTGATAGACCTCCTACTAACCCAGAGTTCTTTGATAGCAAGCACTCTCCAGAGGTTAGCACTATGCCTAATAAATAGCTTATGCTTAAATTCTTAACAAGTAAAAGCAACGAGTGCTTACTACTTTGCCAGATATTGCTCAAAGTATTACACCATATTAACTCCTTTAATCCTTCTACAACCTAATAACGTTGGTATTATTGTTAAGCCCATTTTTAAAGATAAAACATGTATAGAAAGGTGACATCTTCCATTTTTAAAGTATTTTACAATCAGAATGAAATACGTATACACATTCTCAGCTTACAATCTTCACCAAAAAACATTGCAGAGTTCCATTCTAAACTACTAGGAGTCACACTGTCACATAAACTCAGTTATGGGTCACTGCAAACCATCTGTACCTGCCTTCCCAGCACATGCTGATTCTAACTAGTCCGCTCTACAACAGTATTAAGAAACGTACCCACACTAGAAGTTCAGAATCTCTCATCCTTCTGGTTCCAAATTAGCAAATCTAAGCCCTGTTCATTCCGTCTTCATCTTCCGCCCACCACCTTCTATTTCATCTATGACAAACGATGTGGAAGAAGTAGAAGCGTATAATACTAGCGTTAATGTTTTCAACAAATTCATCTTTCAGGAAAGAGACTATATAGCATAGTCAGCTTGTTCCGGTTTGAATTCTGGCCACCGGGCTCTAGCTGTGTCACCTACGAAGTAAAATTCCTTAACCCCGTGGACCCTGGGTCTTCCTCTTCTTTAAAATAAGGCTCCTCAACTACCTGCCTCCCTACGAGTCCTTGGGAGGATTCAGTGAGTTGCAAACAGCTCTGAACAATGCCTGTCAACAAGTGTTAGTTATTAACATCATACCCTTCTCCTCAAACGCTGAGGTGCTCTCCACTAACAGAATAAAAAAGCTAAATACTTGAGCTTGACATTCTAAGGCCTTCAGTCTGAGTCCATTCTACCTGCCCAAGGATACCTTCCACTACTCAGCTACCCAATGCTCAACCCTTGCCCAAATGACGGGCAATGGAACTTCTAGCATAAGAGGAGGCCGTTCTGTTCTCTTTTCAAAATTTCGGTTACTGCAGGGGCGCCTGGATGGCTCAGTCGGTTGGGTGACCGACTTCGGCTCAGGTTATGATCGCAGGGGTCCTGGGTTCGAGCCCCGCCTTGGGCTCTGTGCTGACAGCTCAGAGCCTGGAGCCTGTTTCGGATTCTGTCTCCCTCTCTCTCTGACCCTCCCAGCTCGCCCTCTCACTTTCTCTCAGAAACAAAGAAAACATTAAAAAAAAAATTTTTTTTAATTTCGTGTACTTCATTCAACCCTGCCTTTCCGAGTACAACTCCTACCTCACCTCCTCTCCAATTTCCCCCACCACCCAAACCCGGGAGAACACTGCCCTCCCCCGAGTTCCCGCAGCACCGGCCGTTCCACGGATCATTTGGCATTCACTCCGCTTTGCAATGTCAATTATCTTCTTCTGGCTCCTCCGGTAGCGCTGAAGTCTAAGGGTGGGGGTGTGTCCCCTTCTTTGTGTATTACACAGGCTCGAGGTGCCCAGAACAGGCACCAGAGTAGACAGTTTGTTGCTGCTACAAAAAAGTTATTCGCTGACAGAAAAAGTGGCCCGAAGGGGAACACAGCAGAGCCGTTTACAAACTGGGCAGGTGCCGAACTGTTCTGGCGTGGAGAGGGCGGAGTGGGGGGGTGGTCCCGAAGGCTTCCTTCGGAGCGGGGAGGCGGGGGTCGGGCCTCAGCCGGGGAGCTAGCGGCTCCTGGCGCTTCCCTTCGGGTGGCGCGGGGCGCAGGGGCAACGGGGTGGGGGGGGCGCGAGCGCGGGGCGCGGAGACGCAGCGAGTCCCCCCGCCCCCTCACCTTCGCCTCCTCTTCCTCCTCCTCCTCCTCCTCCCCGGCGGAGCTGTAGGCCTCACAGTGGTGACGCGGGGTCATCCGGGGGCCCGTTACCACCCCATTTTCCTCAGCGCGCGTCGGCGGGGCGCGCGGGACAAGGACGGGACCGACTGAGGAGGGAGAAGAAGGGGAACCGGGCCGGGGGAGCGCAGGCGCTGACGATCGAGCGGGACGCACGGCTGCGGCCGGTGGGTCAGCGAATTAGTTCCATGACTTCCCCGGACCTGAGGCTGCCGCGGCCACCGCGGGTCCCACTCCTCCAACCGCCGCCGCTAGTGCCCGGGTGGGGAGGGGGTTCCCTCTCGCCATAGGGCGGCGGGGGCCGGGGAGAGGCGGGGGGTGAGACCGGCTCTGCCCCTGCCCGGGGGAAGCGCCTCCGAGGGGAAATGGTGAAAAGGGGGTAAGGGGAGAAAAAGGAAAAAAAAGAAAGGGGAAAGGGGGGGAAAAATAAGAAAAAGCGAGACACAGGCGCTGCCGCGTCCGCTCGCGGGGAAGGCTAGGGAGGGAGGGGAGAGAAGGAAGAAGTACCGGTTTCCTCGGCTCCGCCCTCGCGGACCGATTCGTAGACCTCCTCACTCCCTGTAAACAAGGCTCAACTGATCCCTTGCCCTCCCGTTTTTCCTCCACGGCGCCTTCCTCGTCCTGCGAACGTACAGAGGAGCCCGGGAAAAAAAAAAGCTGGGCTGTTGGAGACGGGCGGGTGAAGTCTTTGGCACTGGGGTGGAAGAGAGGAGATGTTTTCTGCGTGCTATGGGAAGTCGAAAGTACACAGACTCATTTTCCTTGGAGAAGGCGGAAGGGCACACTATCAGCCTCACGGTTGACGTAAGCACTCTCCGCTCGCTGGCAGAGGCGTGCGGTGGCCGGAGAGTGCGCTGCGCATGCGCCCCGGGGAAGAAAGAAGGGGCTGAGCGCTCCTCTTGGGGGTGGGGTTTTGTCTGGATGCTCCTCTGTCCGACCCCAGAGCTACCTGATTTTATCCAACCTAGGGGGTCTCTAGGGCTTGTAAGAAGGGTTTATTGGCAAGGGGCTGGTACTCTGTTGCGTAAAGATCTTGCATTCGTTGTTAACTTCGCAAAAAAGTGTCTGACAATTACGTATAAATAGAATTGCGGTTTTTCTCGTGGGACATAGTGGATGCAAGTAGATTCTCAAGGGCTTTGGAAATCTGGTAATTCAGAGGTTCGTATCCTTATGGACTTTCTTGGGTGCCAAAGTCATCTTTTAAAACCGTAAATTATGCTACTGATGCGGGGAACCTTCTTGATAATGCGCCAAGGGAATTTTATACACTTCACCAACACATCTGAGTGTTTGAGTGGGTTTTATTACCAGGTCTTTAACGACCGTATGGGGACATATAAGTGTGTTTTATTTGAGGTTCTTGTATTCACCAATGATAATTTTGGCCTCATCATTTAGTTGTTGCAATTATAGAAAAAATACGTGGAATTACAGAAAGGGGAAAAAAAACCCCTCAAACTCAACTATTTACAGGAGGAGACTCCTATTTTTTATATGCCTATTTTACCAGTTATTGACAAAAATTGTATCAATCATATTCAGCTGGCCAGATTCAGTGCTAGGGTCTTGCAAACTGGAGTAACTAAGACAGAAATAGCTCCTGCCTTCATGGAGTGTACAATCCAAACAGGATTAACATTAAGCTGATTATCACTGTCTAAAATTACTCAGTACATATTTACCCAAAGAATACAAAACACTAATTTGAAGGAATATGTGCACCCATATGTTTATTGCAGCATTATTTAAGTAGTCAAACTATGGTAGCAGCCCACCTGTCCATTGATAGGTGAATAGGTAAAGAAGAGTGGTGGATATATAATGCAATGGAATATTATTCAGCCATAAAGAGGAATGAATTTTTGCCATTTACAACAGCATGGTTGGATTTACAGAGTATAATGCCAAGGGAAATAAGCTAATCAGAGAAACACAAATATGTGATTTCACTCGTGGAATTTAAGATGCAAAACAGCTAACAAAGAAAAAAAGACAAACTAAAAAAAGAAACAAAAAAAACAGACTCAACTATAGAGAACAAACAAATGAGTTACCAGATGGGAGGTGGGTAAGGGAAGATACGGGGAAATTGGTGAAGGGGATTTAATAGTACACTTAAATGGGTGAGCACTGAGCAGTACATAGAACTGTTGAATATATTGTGCACCAGAAACTGATAGAACACTGTGTGTTAACTACACTGGAGTAAAATGAAACGAAATGAAATAATAAAATTACCCAGTAGACTGAATTGTATATGTGTACATTGTATTTCCCCACTCCCTCCTCCAGAATATAAGATCTAGGATGGCAGGGATCTTGCATATTTTGTTTCACCCTGTATCCCTGCATGTCATAACCTCTCAATATTTGATTACTGACTGAATAAACAATTACCGAATTCAAAAGTATTAAGATGGAAAATTGCAGACTGCTATGGAAACACTTAACCTTAGCCTCGTTAGGGATATCAGAGAAGGTTTCTCTGAAGAAGTGACATTTAAGATGAGACTTGAAACCACTAGGCAAAGAAGTGGGGAAAAAGTGATGCAGGCAAAGGAAACAATATGTACTAAGGGTCTGAAGCTGAGACGTTCTAAAATCTCTGAAAGGTAGTATATATAGCTGGTCTTGAGAATTGAGGGGGAAAGAACTGAGGACCACAGGTCCATAGGCCAGAACAGGGAATGGGAAGCCCAGGAAGGATTTTAAGCGGGTTGTATCCTGCTTTTTTTTCACTTCATGTCGCCTTTTCCCATATTATTATGTGGTTTTCCTTCTACATGGCAGACATTTTTCTGCAGAATACTTTTGAGAGTGTAACATTTCTGCGTAATACCTTTGAGAGTGCAGCATAATTACATTGTTGGACCATGGTTTTCACTCCTATAAGAATCAATATAAATTTTACTTCTAGATATGTAGCCAAGAAAAATGAGAACATGTCCAAGCAAAAACTTGTCCATGGGGAGCACCTGGCTGGCTCAGTTGATAGGGAATGTAACCTTTGATCTCAGGTTTTGTATACAGAGATTACTATAAAAATTAAAATTTAAATAAAAAAAAACACCTGTCCATGACTATTCATAACAGCATGATTCATAATAGCCAAAAACTGAAACAACACAAATATCCACCAACTGATAAATGTATAAATTAAATGTGGTATATCTAAACAATGGGATATTTGGCCATAAAAAGGAGGTACTAATATATGGTGTAAGATGGATGATCCTTGAAAACATATGTAGTCTTTTGTGACTAGTTTCTTTCACTTAGCATAGTGACTCCATTTATATGAAATGCCCAGAATAGGATGATCCCTAGAGGCATAAAGGATTAGTGTTGCTTAGCACTGGTTGCAGAAGATGGAACCGGGGGATGATAGCCAAAGGATGTTGGGTTTCTTTTTGAGGAAAATGTTCTAAAAATTGATTGTGATGATGGTTGCACAACTCTGAATACACTGAAAACTATTCAATTGTACACGTAATTGAATGGAATGAAATGTGAATTATATATCAATAATGCTGTTGTCAAAAAAATGAAGGAAAGAAACAAAAAGGATCCAATTAACATCTTCATTCATGACCTATTTTGGGTTATTACTGGGTCCAATAGCTCTTACGGCTTTATGGCTTTTGATGAATGCCAATTTGCCAAGCTGTTTTGGCAGAGGGGTTAAACCAATTAAAAAGCAACTGGGAACGTTTAAGAGCTTCTACTTCATTATGTACTTAACCTTTTTAAAGTTTAGGATTATTAAAACTGTCTTACTGTTTGTAAGGATGCCAGTGACAATTGAATCTACAATACTATAAACGGAATTTCAAGTAATTAATAGGTGGTAAGAACCAAGTTCCAGTTGTCCCAACAAAAACTATCGACTTTCTTCTACACTGTCCACCCATAAGACCTTTTAATCAACATCTCTTTTTTCTTAATAGTTGTGATATTGCTTTTGCAATGATTATAGTTGTAAAAAATGGAAAGCCTTTGAAATTCCCTGAGAAAAGAAATAAGGCATATGAAGTAAATATATTAATAGCCATGTATTGGCAAGAAATTCCTGGTTTTGCATTTTTTCGATCTTTTTAGAAATGTTTCCCTCTTGTCC